AGCCTGATGCACTTGTAGGCACTGGTGTCTGTCAAATGTCCATGCAACGTGGCCTTCCCAATCCACACTACCCGCCTTAACGTAGGTATGGGTACCGGGATCGGGACGGGGAACCTGTGGAGCATGCTGTGGTACTGCATGAGTATCCCACACCGGGAATCCATCAACAATTCGCGTGACCCCAATGGGGTATTGATTCACCCAACAGAAGGCATAGGACATGACCGCTCCAAAACCAGATTCAAGCTGTTTGTCCTTTTCTCTCAAAGGGTACCAATGGCTCCCTTCCATCGCTCTCTGAGCCCCCTCCATAGCTTGGGCCACACAAGGTGCCCAGGGGAGTTGCCAGCGGGCATGGTCTCCAGAGGAGAGCGTCGATGAGAACAGGTCCAAAGGCGACCCTCCCATTGGGGAGGGGATTACCACACGCCCCGTATAAAACAAAAGTCTCGTGGCAATCACTGCCCTGCTCAAAAGCTGCGACCTTAATTGCATATTAGTAAGGGTCAGCTGGGCTGCGGTTGGTTGGGTATCCTGTGATTGTCCCGAAAAAGCGGGACGAGAGACACCAGACCCTAGCCCTGGCAGAGGGACAGGCAGTATCTCAGCCCATGCCCCCCTAGGTCCTTCTGCGTCATACCCTGCGACTGCAGAAGGGAGTTGACTTTTGAAGCCAGATTACACATCCAGGCCTTCCAAGCCATCTCTTCACCATGGGAGAGCGATCACCTTGACTAGTTCTGGTAAAGGAAGGCACCATACCTGTGTCTGTGATCGTGCAAGCAGCTCAGGCATGGGGATCAAAAACCATTAGGTCTGTGCAACGTCCTATGACATCTATGTAATTCATTTAAATGTGATCAGTACTTAAAATACGAGTGGAAAAGCCAACAAGCAGCCTATCGGCTGAGATAGCTCCGCTGTTAGCAATGCACATTTCAATTAAAGAACTAAAGACATCATTAGAAAATGAACAATATGAATAGTATCAAAGCAATCGGACTTACAGTTTTTAACAAGAAGTCGAAAATATCACTTTTTACCAAAAATTATAAAAATATTCACCAAAATAAATAGAGAATTGAAGATATCATCACAAAACAAA